ATTTTATAAAAATTTTATAAATTTTTTAATTATATTTCTACGAAGTTTTGAATTTTTTTCGAATTTATTATGAATTAAACATCTAATTATGTATTTTGACTATTTTTAATTCATATTTAATGGAAGGGTAAGAATGGAATGCAAAAATAGGTATGTTTCCAATAGGAATCATATGGTCCTATTTTGGAATAAAAACATAGCAAGTCCTATTTTAGATTTTTGCCATAGTTTTAGTCCTATTTGAACTAATTTTTACTTAAAAATTGGGGTATCGTACCTACCATTCACTTGATTGATCCAAATCATTATATCACTTTTAATTTAGATTTAAATAATTCAACTGCACCATTCTGATTGGTCCTTGTGGACAAATGTATGGTACATTAAGGGTACCATAGAATCTACCTAAGTTTAATACTCCCTCCGTCCCACTAAAATCAATAAAAAGTAGTTTATGTGGTTGATATTGAATTGATAAAGTAAGAATGGTTTAGAGCCACACAAAATTTGCCAAATTTGATATATGAGACAATATTAGTGGGACGAACCGATAAGGTAAAACGGGACAATTATAGCGGGACGGAGATAGTAGTACCCTACTTTGGGAAATAAGTTTAGAAAGTAACTCTCCTTGGAAAAAACTTTAGGAATGTATATTTATTTTGTAGAGAAAATTGCACCTTAAATCATTGAAAAGGTTGGAATATTAACTAATCATTTGTTTCCATCAATAATTTAGTGTATTCAAAGATATAATACCGTATTTTAAGATTATTAACGTTTAAAATGTGTAGACATTTGTATTTATTTTGCGAAAGTATAAAACATACTCCGTATATTTAACCATATTTTTATAAAAGTGGATCGTATTATACACGAAAACATACATACATAATGTTCACGAACCGAATATATTACGAACAAAAATTCTATTACAGCCCCAAATTACTTGTCATAGCACCAAATAAAATATTAATAAATAAATTAATTCTAATAGCCAAATTGCCCTTATTATAGCATCATATCCACTGCACAAAGCTAAGCTCCATAAGCCTGGAAACGTGATTAAGAAGCCGTAACACTAAAATTTTAACTGAATCGGCTGATTCTGCTGAAATTTATGAAATTCTGGCAGAAGTGGCTGTATAAAAATTGATTCTGTTGATTTATGAAGAAATTATATTTAAAATGTATTTTATTAAAATAATAAATAAAGAAATATATGAAAAACTAGTTAAAATATCATATACAATAACTTTAACCAATACAACCAGAAAAGTAATTTAAATCTTACTTTTTCTTATTATTACACAATTCAGCATGCAAAATAAAAAATTATGTGTTTAAAATATAGTGACCAAATGGGTCTCTAATATGTTGTTCAGGTCTACCTCTTCCGATCCTTAGAAACTTGTTGCAGGCTTGACAAGAATTTACGGTTTGCATCTATGAAATTCCATGTTCTAATTTCACATTGTTGTCCCTCTCCAAGTCTCCGTCTGAACGGAGAAGAAGAAGAGCTGCCAAAAGTCGCCGGAGTGCAACCATCCTCGACTTCCTCCGGTTGATTTTACTGTCGCCGGCAGCTGGAGAAACACAGACAGAAAGTAAAGGGCACCTCGAGCCCTAAAGAGAAAAGAGGGGAAAAAGGTTGCAGGCTTGAGGCATAAAACCAGGGAGAGAGAACGGGAAGAAAGGGGGAAAAGAAAAAAAGAAAAGAAAACGAAAGGGCAAAAGAAAAAAAAAATGCCACGTGGGCGGCCACATGGGCTTTTAACCGAGAAACTGATCAATTACCGGGTAAACAACCCAATTGAGCGTTTTTTAGTAGTTCAGGGATTTAATTGAGTGTTTTCTAAGTACGTGAACTTCATTGATTTTTCATAAAAAGTAGGAGGGTTATATGATAATTTTCTCATTTATTAATGCACACCTTATACAACGCACGATTCAAAGTAGTAGTACTCCGTATAATTTAATAGAAACAAGTTATATAAAAACAAAGATATAAAAAATAGAACTATAAAAATAAAAAATATATTAAAATATATATTAATAATTTTATTAAAAGTTTAAAAACTACAAACACAGAATGTAAATACAAATTTAAAATTTAAAAAATATTACTCCCTCCATAACTGAATTATTTTCCAAATTTCCTTTCTCATTCCTCCCAAATTAATATGAATATAAGAAGTAAAATTTATTAATTGAACAAAAGTTTTTTTTGTAGTAGTACTTCGAGTTAACCGAAAAATATAAATAAATTTTATCTATACTTTTTACTGTATATTTATAATTTATCTTTATTATTTTATTTTTATTTACTACTACCTCCATCCCTTTTTATTTAGTCATTTTTGACTTTTTCCAGTCAAAGATAATAAACGTTGATCCATTATTTTAAGAGGGTGTTTGGAACCCCAAAAATGGGCTGAGCCTGAAAATAAAAAAATATAGCCAAACACAAGGCATGTTGGTTGTTTGGGCTAAATTTTCTTATCAGTCAAAAAAGCAACACCAGAGTTACTTTTTGGGTTGAAAATTATTAATATGCTGTTGGAAATGAAAAATACTCCTTTACCCTTGTATTTTAAGCCTGATCGCCCCATGCTGCTTCGTTGCTTCCAGACTGATGATGAGAAGCACCTCCAGGCTCCCGCAGCTGCGCCATAGGTTTGTGTTCCAGATCATCAGATCGATGACTTCCGGCTCAGCTGCTCCATAGTTTCGGCATGCCAGATCGACGACTTCTTGATCGGCTTCTCCATATTCTTCATCTTCAATTGTGCTATCCTTCATCTTCTTCATCTTCAATCGTTAGCAGACTCACGGTTCTTAAATCTTTTTTTTCTAATATTTGCTGAATATTAATTTCAAACAAACTGGCAGATGTTATTTATTGTTTGAGAGTCGTGTATGATTATTATTCTATTTTTTCTAGAATTTAGTTTTTCAATTTAAGTGGTTTTAAGATGAAATAATTCAGGTTGCATTCTTCATTCTAAAGCCAAGAGCTAAGATTAAAAAATCCCTGACCAGTGTTTAAGTGCCATAAAAACCAGTTTGAATCACTTAAACCAATTTAAGTAGTCTTATAATTACCTAATCAAGCAAAAGTAGTTTATTAGTAAAATTCACACCCATATATTTAACACATACAACGTATAAGCTAATACCCTTTATGGTAATTTTACACTCAATCCGACATTTCAGTCAACATATTACCAAACACTTTCACTTCAATAAATTAAGTCTTTTCAAGCTTTTCAGCCATTCCAGCCAATGCAGCTGTTACCAAACAGGCCCTAAATAATATATCTATATATATGTATATATGAAATTTAATAAATTTATACTTTTATGATAGTATACTTAACAAAGAACATTTTCATATAATTTTCATATTATCAATATTGCCTTGTATAAATATATAATCAATCAAAGTTGAACAACTTTAACTTAAAAAATAATGTTTGACTAAATAAAAAGGGACGGAGGGAATATGTTTTTTGAATTTATTCTTATATTGAAACTTTCGTAAAGATGTGGGGGTGAATTGAGGCAAATTATATCCTACACCCGGGTGTATAGATACACCCGAAATTTTTGTAAATAAACCAACTTCAATCCTAGTCAGCATCCTCTTCCGCAGCCATTCTCGCTCGCATTCTCTTCCTTTTTTCTTTCTGCCGACTTCGTATATTTTTTCCTTCCGTGCCATCATCTTTTCTTCCGCCGACATCATCTTTTGTTTCTTTCTTTCCTAGCCATCCTCGTTTCTTCCAGAGCCATCATCTTTTGTTTCTCTCCTTCCCTTCCAGCATCTTTTCTTCTACGGCCATCCATTCCTATTGTTATCTTTTACTTTTGTCTTTTTGTTATTTTTTTTATTTCACTTTCTTTTGTTTTGTCTTTTTTGTACTTCTTTTCCTTTCTTTATTTGTTGTTTACTTCTTTTCGTATTTATATACATTATACCGAGCACATTAGATATGATTTTTACCTTAAACTCAAATGAGTAAAACGCGTAAAAAAATGAACATTCATAAATGAGCTTTTGAATTTTTGAATACTCATTTTGTAAATTATGTATATTCATTTAGTATCTCTGTTATGCTCATTTTTAAATGTTTTAGCAATGCACATTTCAAAAGTCTCATATTAGCAATGCTCGTTTAATAGAATTCATGATTTTCATCAATCTCAATAGAAGATGTTTGATATGTATGCTCATCTGAGACTGATCGATCATATGCTCATTTTATAAATGTCATATCAATGCATTTTAAAAGTACTACGGAGTATTTTATATTAGACTCCTAATACTCAATATAATAGGTCTGATGCTCATTAAAAGTTCATTATTACTCATTCACCAGAAGTCGTGATTTTCATCTCAATAGTGGAGGTTGATGCTCATTTAAAATGTCATGATGTTCAACTAACAAACCTTACGATTTTCATATAATGTGCACTTTGTAAGTTATGTATGCTTATTTTGTACTAACGTTATGCTTATTTTTAAAATGTCATATCAATGCATGTTCCAAAAGTATCATATTACATTAGACTCGCATATAGAAATTAATAGGAGTAGATTATAGATATAATTTAATAAGTTTTTATAAAAGAAAAATAACAAAAAAAAGAAAAAGAATTAGAAGATGTGAAGCAGAGATCGTGATACTCATAATTAGCCTTCTATTACTCAATAAAATAGGTCAAATGTTCATTAAAAGTACATTATTGCTAATTTAGCAGGAGACATGATTTTTCGCTTAAATTACAAAAATGTCACCGTTAAAATAATTGGCCCCTTTGCTTGTTTTACACTCTGAACCTGTTGTTTATGGACTTTGCTCGTTAATTATTGTGGGCATCCATTATATTCATTAAATTTCATTTAAATTGGGTTGAAGCTTTAAAAAATTAAAAAAATACCCGGACGTACGATTCCCACCTGTACACCCGGGTGTAGTATATACGAACCTATGAATTGAACATCAAATGCACAATTGGCACCAACCAAGTAACATTGCGGATAACTAGATGTTTACCGGTAAATCATGAAATTTGGACATTTTGTACAAGTTTAGAATAGGAATTAAATTTTTTTAGTTAAAAGAAACAATAGCGCACACTACGAACATCAAACGAATTGCACCAATAACACGAGAACAAACGAAGAAATTTACAGGATTAATAAAAAACAATCAATAGCTGTAGTATTTATGTACTATGGATGATTCAATAGAATCAACATTCATCTTATGTGTGGAGCAATAAATGACCTTGGAGGCATTTCTATGAGATCTTCATCTCCTTCAAGCATTTCCACAATTCTGTTCATAGGAGGACGATCGGCATACTTCATCTGTATGGACCACAAAGCAACTACAATAATCTTCTTCATCGCTTTTCTCTCTTCCTCGGTACCATCTCCAGTGACTACTACTTCATTCCCTTTCCTGATTTGATCATAAATCCACATGGCATCTGCGTTTGGATTCACAATGATCAATTTTCTAGCCAAGTTCATCAACAGCATTCCAAAACTGTGAACAACATTATTATCCATGTCGTCCAGCTTTGCGAGCCCAAAATATGATATTTTCGGATTGAAGTTCTCATCAAGAAGAATGTTGTGAGGCATAATGACAAAATCGTCACACCCTTTATTATGAAGGTAGGTTATTCCATGTGCCACGCCAAGAGAAATCTGAAACGTTTGTTTGTAACTCAAGGGGGTGGTATTCCCTTGTTCAGATGATACCCATTTTTCTAAAGACCCGTTTGGCATGAACTCATATACCAAAGCACGATTAGATCCCTCGATGCAAAATCCAATGAGATGAACCACATTAACGTGGTGAATACTTCCAATAGTAGCGACCTTATTGAGAAATTCTTTTCCTGTTCCAATGGTTTTCTTCATCATTTTAATCGCAACGAAAGGTCCACTCCTAAGTTTCCCTTTGTACACTGTTCCATTGGTTCCTTCTCCCAGTTTCTCCTTGAACCCATTAGTCATCTTCTTAATCTCAGCATAACTGTAATTTATTGGCAGCAGTTTGCTCTGAATGTCGAGGAAATCCTGAATGGTGACATCCCCTGGTAAATGACGCCTCTTTCGTTGATAGACGACTAGCGCAACAAACAGTATGATCCCAAAGAGAAGTCTGATTCCCAGAAATGGTACTGGGTAAGTTTAGAAAATAAAAAATAAAGTCAATAAATAGAACTACCAAAACAAACTTTTTATAATCAGTTTGGTTATGTCAAACTTTACTGAGAGATAAATTTAAGTCATTACCTATCGTTACTAGGCCATATAATATCACCAGAACTGTAAAAATATAGACAGGAGAGGGAAACATAGAACGTTAGAAATACATATGTATCATTCAATTAAAGAACTAAGGAAGGATAAGTCTCATTATTAAGAAAAAAATTATGAAAATTATGAAAGCCACATTATTAAGAGATTGAAGGATCCGTTCGGTAATGAACTCTGACAAATTCTATTTATCTGCAAGATATGCAGATAAATAAATAACAATTAGATAAGCATTAATTAATATTTAAAAACCTACCTCCATAATAATGGATGCTACCTGCAGTAAAAAAGAACAAAAGGCATTAGAAAACGACTTGCACCATAAGAATTTTCTAAAGAAAATGCTGTTAAGGCTTAGTTCCATTCTATAAATTCAAACATCAGCTGTAACTTAACATATTAGTTTATTCTTATTTTATATTTAATGAATTTGAGATGCTTAAAGATTAGGGCTTACAAGGGAGAGGAAGATCAAATCCAGTATCATCATAACAACGATGGCTGCAAGTAACACCTTCAAGATTGAGAGGATCATCAAAGAAGCATTGGCCTCCGCTCTGCTCACAATCTCGACACAAGTAAGCTCTCTTCCAAGAAAGCTCGACACCGTAGCCCAGGGCAGCATGTATGCTGGACAGAGAACTGTTGTCGCCCGGGATCAGCCCATTAACTGAGGCCCATGCCACTGTTTCAAAGCTGCAACTCCTCGGCACGTCTCGTATGGACAACCTGTCTCCAATTGTCACGTAGCTGCTGCCGTTGCTTCTCGACTTCCTACAGAATTCCGTGTGGACGTACTCTTTCGATAAATTCGTCGAACAGGTGGTGTACACTATAGGAACGTTAGCTCCGGTGGATCTGAACTTAAAACCGGTGTCAAAGAAATCACTGTTTAGAACAATCTTGGGGAAATTAGTGCAATTTCGATTAGCTTGATCTTGCAATCCGGGGTCGACAACCCTGATCGAGTAATCGGAATAATTGATTGCCTGAACGTTGTACCTTTCCGTTTCGAACATGATGCTTGGTTGGTTGTTCAAACATTCCAGCACATATTTTGGATAGCCACAGTTCTGTGGAGAACTTTTGAGACGAAATGGGAAGGTGATGTTTTGAAGGTTTCCGCAAGAAGATGGAGGGCAAGGGGGGTTGGGTAAGGTTCTGGAGGCTGTTTTAGGAAGAAAGAGTTCCAGCAGAAGTAGAGCTGCGGCGGCGGAAAAGAAGAGCTTTTGCGGCGACATTTCCGGGAGATGGTTGGCTGTGTTCTGGGCGTAGAATATGTTGAGTGATTTTTTCCTTTGGGTACATAGGAGAAGATATAGTGAGAGATTTTGATCGGTTCTTTCTTTGCAGGGAGACGGCGGTCAAAGAGTAGTGGCTGGTTTGACCTATTCTTAGTCGTCGGATAGAACGCGTAGGGTACTTCTACCGTACCTCTTAGGCTCTTACAGTTAAAGGTATGGTACCTTGCCTAGATGGACCAATAAGAGTGATACATACGGAGTCTTTACACACATGGATAAAACTGCATTATTTAATTTGACGACTAATTACTTTGCACCGTAGTCTGATAAAAAACTTTTTTTTTTGTCTGGGAATATCGATTTACACACAATATTTTACACAAACAAAATATTGTATGTGAACCGGGTTCACAAACAAAAAAAAAGTTTCACAAACATGATTATTATTGATGGGTATACGACATATATAAGAGTAGGTACATCAAGCATTATTGTTGTTTTACTGTTACACGTCCTTTAGTTCGTATTCCTATTTCCTAACACTAAAAAATTGATTATTTTGGGAAAGATTGTTGAATTACATGGGAATTATAGTAAATTCAACCCAACCAGTTGTCTCGCTCTATTTACCTGCGTTCGTCTTGATTTGTTTTCCTCTTGTGAAATAAGGAATCATTTTCACATCTTCTACGCCGTATAGGTCCATAGGAATCCTTAGAATAAGGACCCCAAAGCAAAAAAAAAATGCTACGTACTTGTTAAAATTTGAGTTCAATTGTTTTGCGTAGTAATACACGTGTCCTTACTTTATTTGTCCAAGTAGGCAAAAGCACCGTACACTGAATTAATGCATGTACGGTAGAATTTTCCTTCAAATATTGATTCATTAAAATAAGAGAAAATGGTTAAATAGATTCTCGAATTAAACTAAAAAGTGCAAATCACCTCTTATATAGGAGAATCTGTCTGGCCGTCGTCATTTGAGGTGGATCTGATGGAATTTTATGATTATTTTTTTAAACATTTTCTTCATTAAGTCTAGTTTATCCATACTAAATTTCAGATAAAAAATTCAACTGGGAGACAGTCAAATGATTTTCTGAAATGTACTGCGCAGTTATCTTCAAAAATTCATTTAAGTTCCTTCCCAATTGTATTTTTAGCTGAAATTTGGTATGCGTAAACTTGACTTAATGAAGAAGATGCTCAAAAAATTTCATCAAAAAATTCCACAGGAACAACCCCAAATGGCAACGGCCAGACAGATCCTTCTATATAAGGGGTGATTTGCACTTATTATATTAATTGTCTATGTTATTAACATCAGACCAGTGAGCGACGCGATCGATTGATTGATCCGGATAACGTTGGGTAAACCCGATCAACATTTATAATTTTTTTACCCGTAATCCCTAATACTCTGTATATAATACTCCCGCTGTCCCAGTGATTTCTTCCGGTATTGATCGGTATCACAAATTTATGCAAAAAGTTAAAGGGATTGACTTTTCCTTTATACCCTTGGCCGAATGGGATAAAGAAAGGGGTAAAAGGTGAGGCAAAAACTTTAATAAGGATAGAAAATGATTAAAAGTAAATTGATTGACATGTGAATAGTAAACAGTATTCACATTTTGACTAAATGTTGCATAGAATGAGGCGTCAATGCCAAAAAAGGGAGGGCGATTAATTTTAGGCTCCTTACATATACTACTCCCTCGTAACTCCCTTCATACACACATGCACACTTCCATCACACACTCCACACACACGCACACTTACAGACACTCCACACACACGTACACTGAAAACAAAAAAAAACGGCAGCTTCAGTGGCTGGTTTATCTTCCACAGCTGCAGCTTCTTCTTCATTTTCTTCATCGTCTACATTTCCTTCAGCTTTTTCCACACCAGGACCCCTAGACCTGCAAATAGTAACAAGCCATGATCATGGTGATGCAGTGGGGAGGAAAAAAGGCTTTCAAACACTGAAAAAGACAGCATAGCAGATGCACTCTTAATGTCCAGTTGGAGGGATTTTTGGGGGGACTTGAAAGCTCATAAAGGTATTTTTGTTAAACTTGCAGAATAGTATGAAGTGTCCAGAAGAACTATTTCTGGCATTTGGAAGACAGTTAAAAAGCAAGTTGTACAAGGTGATGCAGTAAATGTGTGTAGATAGTACCATGGCAGAAAAAGGATAGAATTTGATCTATCTCAGATATCACAGATCCCATTGCATAAAAGGACTAACATAAGGTCCTTAGCAGCTGCCAGCTCAATATCAAAGTCAAGTGTCCACAGATTGGTTCACAGGGGTAAGCTCAGAAGGCATGCAAATGCAATAAAGTCATTTCTAAGTGATGCAAATAAATTGCAAAGACTAAAGTTCTGTCCTAGTCAGATAGAGAAGTCAGTGCCACAGAAGCCTACATTTCAAACATTTCAGAATGTGACTCACATTGATGAAAAATGGTTTTTCATGACACAAACATCTCAAAGATTATGCATGGGGTTGGAAGAGACTGATCCACACAGAGTATGTAAATCAAAGAGGTTCATAACTAAGGTAATGTCCCTAGGTGCAGTGGGTAGACCCCTATTTTCATAAAGTGGTGAGGTCATTTGGGATGGAAAAATAGGCATGTTTCAATTTGTTGAACAGGTTGCAGCAAAAAGAAGAAGTAAAAACAGAAATGCATATGTTATGGAAACCAAGTCTATCCTTCGCATAACAAAGAAAGCGTTCAAGGACATGTTAATCAACACAGTCCTCCCCGCAATAAAGGAAAAATGGCCTCCACAGTTAAACAAAGAAATCATAATACAACAAGACAATGCAAGGCCACACATTTCACATGATGATGCAGAGCATATGAGTGCTTCCATGGCTGATGGGTTTAGTATCACCCTTACTAACCAGCCAGCCAATTCTCCAGACCCTAACATCCTAGACCTAGGGTTTTTTAGGGCAATACAATCTTTGAAAGACCAGAATGCACTCAAGACAGTTCATGAACTGTTACATGAAGTGGATGATGCTTTCAAACAACTATCACCTATGACTCTAAACAAAGTATGACTAAGCTATCAATATGTTATGATTGAAGTTCTGAAAGTGCCGGGAGGCAACAATTACAAGCTACCAAACAATGCAAAGTATAAGATGCAGTCAGAAGGGATACTTTCAAAAACAATTGAGGTAGATGTTGAATTATTGGATGCAACAGAACAAATTCTAGGCCAACAAGCAGGGGATACTGAAAGTCAGGGGAACTTCATAATTGAAGAAGAAGATGATGATGATCATCTTCAGTGATGAAGTACATCTACTGCCATGTTTTGGAAAATTGAATTTAACAGTATAGGCCTTAAATTTTTTGTTTTTTGTACAGGCCTTAATTTTGAAGGACAGTCAAACATTTAGAACTAGTACTAACATGCTCAGACATTTTGTAATAGATGAAGCATACTCAGACCTTTTGTACAAGTACAAGCATAGTCAGACATTTTGCAATAGTAGAAGCATAATGATCTACCAATGGTCATAATGATTTCATCATTTTGGACAACAACAACACACTTAGACCTTATGTACAACAACTATTGCAGCATACACTCCACAAACAAGTACTGAAAGACATTCTTTATGGGCATCACAGATTGACCATGGTACCAAAGTACCACATCACAGGCCTATGGTACTCACAGTATGATTAATATAAAGTACCATATCACATAGTCATGGTCATCATAGTATGCATAAAATACCACATCACAGGTTCATGGTCATCACAGTATGCATAAACTACCAAAATACTATCACATGGTCATCATTGCATGCATAGACTACCATATCACAGCCTAATGCTTTCATCATTGCATACCACACAGAATGAACCAATACACAGATCTACTACTTTCATCACAGCAATCATAAAGAACCAGTACACACAAGGTCTACTTTCATCACAGTATGCATAAAGGACCAGTAGGGATACATTCATGACAGCTTACTTAAAGAACCAGAATACACAAGGACAGTTTCATGACAGTAAGCATAAAGAGACCAGTACACATAAGGTCTGCTTTCATCACAGTATGCCTAACTACCATTTATCATACTGAGTCACAATGTACAACCCACATGCTTCACAATAAACATCAATAAAACCATTTTTCATCATTGCTTCCCCCAAAAATCACACAATGGACATAGAGTACGAATTAAACCATAAACGAAGGTAGGGTATAGAAGAAACTCCCCTAATCTGTGTCCACATCCCACATCCTTGTTTCCCATTTTTGCAAACTTATATTTGGGAACTCTTCCAGCCGGGGACTTCTCTGAATAGGATGCATGTCCACGTCTCTGCGTCTTTTAAGCAGATTTGGGTTCACCGTCCCCCCACGACATCTGTAGGCTTCTCGCTTACATCCTCGGGAAGCTCATCTTCACTGTCCAGGATTATGAGGAGGGCATCCTCTTCCGGGGAGTTCTGATCCATGCACCTCGGATGGAGTACCAATACAGGGTCTGCAAAATCCAACGCCACCGCTTCCTCCGGAAGAAGACCCTCTTCATAGTCAGGGACGATCTCATGTTCAATATTGTCCATACTCAAAGTATTAGGGTTTAGATCCATAAAAATGTGAGAGAGAGGGAGGCGGAAGGGTAGATAGATTTACAGAGGGGAGACGGTTGAAGTAAATGAGAGAGGGAGACGGTTGGAGTAATTGAGAGAGACGGATTCAGTGACAGATAAAGAGGAGGCGGTGGGAGTAAATGGGAGAGAGGGATGCGGATGGGGTAAATGAGAGATGAGAATGGGATATGATTTTTAATTGGGGAGGGTAAAATAGGGTTTTTAGTATGGGTTGATTTCCTTTTTTGAAAAGTTGGAAGAATTAATTGGGATGACCCAAAAAGGAAAGTTGGAAGAAATCACAGGGACGGAGGGAGTAATATATAAAATAAAAATAAAAGCTAATTAATTAATTGTCAAATATCTTGTGATCTGATGACATCATTGTGAGACTCTCATAGAGGAAGACACATGTTCGAATCTCATCTCAATTCAAGGATGTTGGTCTTAACGTACAACAAATACTATAATAGATTAAAAAGAAGTTTTGCAAGAAAAAGCTAATTAGTCTTTACAATAATGAAATAATGTTAATACTTAGTAAACATTGA